TTCCAGGTAAGAGACAGAGAAGAGAATATATAGTCACTTCACTCACCGAACTTCCATTACAGTGCTGAAAACACTCATTAGAAATTTGGTTGCCGTGAAGAAGTGGAAGTTTCTGGGGAAGTGTGTACTTGGAGCAAAAGAATAAATCACATTTGTGTTGAGAACTGGAGGGTGAACTCTAAATGGAGAGATCTCGGTCAGAGTAAATAGTGAGGTGTGGGGGGAACCTGGTATCTTCGTGGTGCTGAAAATTCCATCATGGCCAGAGCAGAAGAGGGTAAGGGAGAGCAATGCATGATTACCTGGAATGGGGACCAAAGCCAGAGGCTTCTCTAAGCAGGGCCCCTACCGCCAAAAAAAAAAAAAAAAGTCCTTTTGAACAGGCATTTGTTTATCTTCTTGTCTGCCACATCATGGGGAACTGCTGAGAGGCTGGGGGCCAGGTGTGCTTATATCATTCTTCTTGAATTTATCTCTTCTCAGAATCTGAATCTTCCTGGTGGGGCTTTCATCCCCTGACCCTCTGTCTGTTTATGTGTGTATGAATACACCTGCCGCCCTGTATCCCACTGACACAAAACATTCCATGGCGCCAGCTGGAATTTGGAGCCTGTCATCTTCAAATTTCTTTATTAATACTTGCCATGTTTCCTTTGCTTCCAAGTTCTGATCAAAACCTGGTCTCTCTGAAAATACTGATTTCCCTGCCAACTGCAGGTTCTGTGTTTCTCTTTCAATATGCTTTTCTCTCTGCTGAAACTTGGGATAATATACTCCTACCATCAGTTGTTATTTTCACAGTTCATTTTCTGTCTTTGTTCTCATTATACGGCTACTTGAAATTCATGCCATAAGGTGATACACGCACACTTGTGTTTGTTTCTGTTGCTCAATACTCAACTTGGCCGCTTTCTCTCATCCATGAAGACCACAGCACCTGGCTCAGCAGCCAGGTTCTTCTTTGTCTTGTTCCTGGTAATATCAACACAACTGGAACAGCTTCCTCACCTGTCAATTCATGGAGTTCCTCATTTCTAAGCCCTTTCCTTCTCTCCCACCTCCATCCGTGCATACACTGCCAATCCTCAGTTACTATCCACCTTAGAATCTTGATTCCCTTGGTCCATTTTCTGACTTTTCTCTTTTCTCCTTACGGCACTCAATCTTCCTTTCCAAAAATTTTGCATCTTCATGCAAATCTCTTCCCTTATCATTTTTTTTTACAGTTCTCCACTCTTCTCATATTTGCACATTTTTTAAATTGCATATTAGGTTTTGGGGTACATGTGAAGAGCTTGCAAGATTGTTACATAGGTACACGCGTGGCAGTGTGATTTGCTGCCTTCCTCCCCTTCACCTATATCTAGCATTTCTCCCCTTGCTATCTCTCCCCAACTCCCCACCCCCCGCTGTCCCTCCCCTATTTCCCCCCAAGAGACCCCAGTGTGTGATGCTCCCCTCCCTGTGTCCATGTGTTCTCATTGTTCAACACCCACCTATGAGTGAGAACATGCAGTGTCTGATTTTCTGTTCTTGTGTCAGTTTGCTGAGAATGATGGCTGCCAGGTTCATCCATGTCCCTACAAAGGACACAAACTCATCATTTTTGATGGCTGCATAATATTCCATGGTGTATATGTGCCACATTTTCCCTGTCCAGTCTATCATCGATGGGCATTTGGGTTGGTTCCAGGTCTTTGCTATTGTAAACAGTGCTGCAATGAACATTCGTGTGCATGTGTCCTTATAGTAGAACGATTTATAATCCTTTGGATATATACCCAGTAATGGGATTGCTGGGTCAAATAGAATTTCTATGTCTAGGTCCTTGAGGAATCGCCACACTGTCTTCCACAATGGTTGAACTAATTTACACTCCCACCAACAGTGTAAAAGTGTTCCTATTTCTCCACATCCTCTCCAGCATCTGTTGTCTCCAGATTTTTTAATGATCGCCATTCTAACTGGCGTGAGGTGGTATCTCAATGTAGTTTTGATTTGCATTTCTCTAATGACCAGTGATGATGAGCATTTTTTCATATGTTTGTTGGCCTCATGTATGTCTTCTTTTGTGAAGTGTCTGTTCATGTCCTTTGCCCACTTTTGAATGGGCTTGTTTGTTTTTTTCTTGTAAATCTGTTTTAGTTCTTTTTTCTTAACCATATTAGATAATATGATCCAGCATTGTAATCATTCTCCTTTAAGGACACTCAACGCCCTTGCTTCTTCTTGGTCAGTCTCACTTGGCAAGCACAGCATGGTTAAAGTCAACTACCCAACCCCATCTGGCCTGTACTAGACTAGTAAAATGGCTGGAGACTAATACCCAAATGTTGCAGGTCTGCTTTTGAATTCATGGACATTAATCTTGAATGGGCACTCCACCCTGCCCCCAAATTCTAGTGTGCTTCTCTGGCAGGTGCACTTGCCCTATCTCTAAGATGATATTTTACATATTCTCTGCCGTCTCCACACTGCTGTCACCCCCAGCCATCCTCTTCCGTGATGATCTTCCCTTGTACTTCACTGGGAAGATTGTCAGCTGTTAACTTCCTCGTCTTCCTTTCACCTCTGTGCCCTCCTTTTCACACTCCCACTTGGCCTTCTGCATCAATGAGCTCAGCCTTTATTTGAGGCCAGCTCTTCCCCTTGGGCTACAGATCCTAATTGCAGTCATTTTGTTAAGTACTTCACGTTTTCGATCATGCATTCTTCCTCTGGAACATCAATTTCTCCTTCTCTACCCCAGTTCATTCCCATCAGTGTATGTCTTGAGACCCTCACATATTGAAAACCCCATGAACAAACCAGCATTCTTCCTTTACCCTGCTTCCCTCTTTATCTGCTGCCCTATTCCTACTCTGTCTCCTCTACAACCTCGGCCTTCAAAAATATGGTCAAATAGTCATTATCTCCAACTTTCATTTCTCTTATTTTTCTGAACTCATTCCAATTAAGTTTCACACTCTACCACTCAGAATTGATAAGGACATGACACATAACCACTTTTAAAAAAATTGTTCTTGCTCTCTCAGCAGCATTCAACAAGTTGACTTCTCTTTCTTCCTCAACTTTCTTTCTTTCCTGACAGCCACACTACCTCATTAATTCTTCTTCTTCTTCTTTTTTTTTTTGAGATGAGTTCTTGTTCTGTCATCCAGGCTGGAGTGCAGTGTTATGATTATAGCTCACTGTAGTCTCAAACTTCTGAGCTCAAGCAATCCTGTCATCTCAGCCTCTTGAATAGCTGGGATTACAGGCACATGCCACCCCACCTACCTAATTTTTTTATTTTTGTAGAGATGGGGTCTTGGTATGTTGTCCAGGCTGGTCTTGAACTCCTGGGCTCAAGAGATCCCCTCACTTTGGCCTCCCAAAGTGTTGGGATTAAAGGTATGAGCCACTGTGACTGGCCTGATTGTTCTTAGTCTTTCTGCCTTGCAATGTCTTTGCTCAATCTCTAGATTTTAGACAGTTTCAAGATTGAGTATCAGATTATCTACTCTTCCTTAGCTGTAAACTTTCCCTAGATTATCTCATTGAGATCTTTGGCTTTACATGATGTCATGACACTGAGAGCTTCCAAATATATGCCTCAACAGCTTATTTCTGACCTTAACTTAAAACTTGTTATAGGACCAACATGTTTGTATGCTCACTGCACAGTAACAGACCAATTACACTGAGACAGCAGGGTTTGCAGCAGAGAAAGAGTTCAATGATCACAGGGCATCAAGTGAGGAGATGGGAGAAGACACTGAAATCTATCTCTCTGAGGAGTTCTGGGCTGGGGTTTTTAAGGGGACTGTGGAGGGCAAGGGATCCTTGTAGAAAATTGGGGTCATTGATTGCTTGTGATAAGTGGGATGAAACCATCAGGGCATGGAAACACATTCTTTGGTGGTTCAACTCCATATGGGGTTCTTCAGATTAGCTGAATCAGTAGTTTTACTGGTATGCAGGACCTGAAACAGTATCTCAAATGGAAAAAAATGTTTCATAGCATTGAAGTTGTTATCTGCAGAGCAGTTAAGGGGAACTATAATCTAGGATCTATGTGATTCTAGGACAAAGGCACCAAACAGCTCTGAGGAAGCATGTTGGAGAGTAGGCTGACCGGCTGAGTGTGCTGCAAGCTTGGTTTATTTTTCATTCCACCCCTCCCTTCTTCCCTGCTTAATTTTATAAAGTTTATAGACATGGTTTCAAACTCATATATTTTATGACTATACGGTTGATGTCCTCAGTTGAATATCTAATGGGCATCATACATTTAGCTTTCCAAAGCAGAATGTTTGATCCCACCTGCTCAATCCCTGCCTCAGCTTTTCCTCCCTGCCGTATTCCTCATTTCAGTTAATGTCACTACTGTTACACCATTACTTAAGCTCACTACATAGGAGTCAACCTTCACTTCTTCATTTTCTTCTCCCCCCACTCTCAGTGTAATAGTAGGTTCTGTTGCCTTTATCATCAAATATGTCTTTGATCCTCCTACTCTTTCCTTCTTACTATCATCTTAGTCCAGTAAAGATTACCTTTGCATGGATATTCCGATGGTCTTTAGTGGCCACTATTCTCTATTCAACACTGGAAATATAGAACCTTAGACAGCCTTCTTCGGAGTGGGACCACCCCAGCTGCCCCTGATTCAGCTCCCCCACTGTCTGCTTCTGCAGGAGCAAGACCCAAGAACTGCCCAATTGCTGCTCCCTGCACAGGTATGCCAGCCCCTCTCACCTCCTCTATTTGCTCCTGGGAGCTCCTTCCCTCCCACCACGGGGTGGGGAGGTAACGGGAGGTGCTGCTGCCTTTTCAGACAAAGAGAAGCTCCAACTCAGAGGAGGAGACAGTGTGTGCTCAGGGCGCGTGGAGGTTTGGCATGAAGGCTCCCGGAGCACGGTGTGTGATGACTCCTGGAGCCTGGCAGAGGGCAAGGTGGTATGTCAGCAGCTGGGCTGTGGCTCTGCCCTGGCTGCCTTGGGGGAGGCTGTGTTTGGCCCAGGAAATGGAAGCATCTGGCTGGATGAGGTGAAGTGCAGGGGCAGGGAGTCCTCCCTGTGGGCCTGTGCTGCAGAACCCTGGGTCAGAGCAACTGCAAGCATGAGGAGGACGCTGGAGTTAGGTGCTCTGGTAAGTGGCTGGAGGAGCTTGGATTTGTGTCTAGTTGAGCTGGGATAGCACTGGGGCAGTGGGCTGGGCTGGAAAGCATCTGGGTGCTGTAGCCCTGGATCTAGGACAGAGGAATTTGGGAGGACTCTTTTATGATGTGGTAACTGAGGGGTGATTTTACCTCATACAGGAAGAATGGGCTTTTCTGCATTCTGGCGAATTCCATGCTCCAAAGTCCTGTTTTCCTCTCTAGGTGAAAGAACAACATTGTTCCCCATTACATTAAGTACAGTGTCACCATCTATGGATGGGGGGCATATTCAGACTTTGGGACCTGTTCTGTGGAATCTCAGACAGAGTTAACCAATTCAGGAAGGGAAAATCCTGAGGAGCCTCTGGCTGGTGATCAGGGCATCTTTCCCAGGGAAACTTCTGCTTCTTTGGGTCACAGTGCCAGAATGTCCCTCACGTCCTTGGGCCTTAGGAGTCTGGCTTCAGTGCTGTGGAATGTAAGGTTTTCTGCATTGCCATTTATGTGGGATAAAGGTTGTTTACCCTTAAAGGTATTATGTGTGTGTGTGTTTTCTTTTCCCCTTGCACATTTCCCACACAGAACATCCCCTAGGCAGCAAATAGCCTTTTCTCCAAATAAATGTTAAAGAACTGTATAAAAAATATTGTTTGAAGGGCTACTGCAGGGGCAGCCTGTCTCAATCTCACCCTGGCTCCTGGGAGGTGGTAGGATGGGAAGTAGGAAAATACCGTCATTTTCACGGGCTCACTTTAATCTTCAAGCTTGCCCTCTCCTTCTTTCCTTACAAAAGAAAGATAAAAAAAGAGTGAAAGTCAGAAGATGTATTTGGTTAAAAAAAAAAAGAAATTCCTTTCCTTGCTTATAAAGCAAGGGTAATAGAAGCCCACTGTGTCATAGCCACAATTCCAAAATCTGAAAAGCTCTGACTATCAAAAGTTGTTTTCATAGCTCATTTGGCAGCAAAATCTGACCTGACGGGAGGTGAAACTAACTATAGTCTTTATTCATCTTAATGAATGGGAATATTCATATATTTCACTACAGAAATATTTATGTATATGATTTCAGGATGCTGCTGTAGGTTCTGCTAGGGCAGTAGAGATGGTTCTATGTATTATATGACCTTTCTAAAAATGGAAAAATTCTGACTTCTAAAACATCTTAGCCATGTGGGATTTAGATAAGGAATAATGTTCAAAGATTTGTCACAAAGCATAAGTGAAGAATGTTCACAAAGCGCCCAGAACAGTGCCTGACACCTGGAAAACAGGAGCTTCATTTTCCTCTCCCTGTATTTTTGGCTATATGAATAAGGAGCCCTTTTTCAAAAGTTAGCTCCAGCCAGCTGAATCTGAGCCAGATATTACAAATAAAAAACTGGGTGAAAAATAAACTCCAAGAATGTTAAGTTAAAAAAAAAAGAAAAAAAAACTCGGTGAAAAAATAGCTGCAATTTATATTATTTGCAAAGAGTATTTGTAATATTTGCAATGAGTTAATATCCCTAATATGTAAGGAGTTTTTAAAAAAGAAAAACGCTAAATTTAGTAGGAAAATGAGCCAAATACGTGAATGGACAGTACACAGGAAAAAATAAATGCTCCTTAAATATTAAAAAATACAATTTAAAAATAATAAAATTTTAATAAAATTTAAAAATTAAATTTTACTTGGAAAACGATGAACTCATAATTTTTTAAAAATTGTGTTTCCTAGTTCTGTGTACTAGAAGTCCTTGAAGCAATGACATCTAATAGTAAGATGCCATTGCTCTGGAGCATAAATCTTGATTTCTAAACATCATTCTTGATATAAGGGGCTCCTTGGGAAAAATAATATCTCCACAGGTGGAACACAAAAGATGCCAGGTGAACCTGTGACCTCTTTTTACGTCAGAAAGTAAACAAATGATCAAAGAATGATAGTAATATGTCAAAAGGACACAAAAGTCAACTTGAGAGGGCTCCCACTGGCCAAATTTGAGATAATTTATGTATCAAAAAGAATAATCAAGGAAATTGGTTAAAAAAAACATAGAATCTTTAAAATTCCATGAATGTACAGTGATACCCAGGGTGGGTTGAGAGATGAAAGGGTGGAGGGAGAAAAAATCTTTTTAGAAAAAACTCTGGGTGGATCCAAGATGGCCATTTAGGAACAGCTCAGGATAGCAGCTCCCAGTGAAAGCTCAGAGGATGAGTGGACACTGCATTTTGACTGCCTACAGACTAGGAAATTCCCAGGCGGAGGAGCACCACGGGTCACCAGCGCGGCTGTTTCGGCTGTGTCGGCTGGCGTGGCTGCTTTGTCAGCGCCCCAGCGCGGCGGTTCTCCGTACAAAATACACCGGTCCCGGTGCCCTTTTGGCCCATTCATCTGTTTAAAAAGAGGACTGAACAGGGAACCAGGACAGTAGATTCCAGGGCAAAAAAAGCACCATAAATCTCAGTGCCGCTGTTTAAGCCAGCGCAGTGAGTGGCCGCAGGGGAAAACACACAGATCCCGGCGCCTCTTCAACAGG